GAAATCCAAATCTCCATTAAGAACTGTCAAAGGTGATTGTTATTCTACAGCTAAAGTAAAAGGTTGCCATTTTCAACATTTCTCAATTAAAGATGTTTCTTGGTACAAGGAGGGGGCTGACGCATTAAGTTAATGTGCATTTATTGCTATGCAAAAAATATGAAAGAGCTGGCATTTTGTCCATAGGCAGTAGTCTGTCTGTAGCACAAGATAACTTGGAGGAGGCTGATCTTCAGCGCTGTGGGCATTTAACACTTCTACAGCAGTCAGCTTTACAACACATTTTGCTTTCCAGTTAGGCACCCGAAGTTTGAAATGTCCCAAATCACTAGTTACTTTTAGAAATGTTGATGGTAATTTTTAAACCTGGAGATTTGGGTGTGGCATCATTGTGCTTGTTGTTTGCACAGCATTAGCACATACGACCCTATTTTCTGTCAGATTTCTAGGAGGACTGAGCTGGTAGGGATTGGGCTTCAGGTTTTGAAAACAGAATGATTTCTGATCACAGAGAGGGTCCTGTGTAATGCACCCCATGGCAACAGAGCTGAGGCTGGTTTCTGGTTACAAGTGCAGCTTAATGGGTCTAGCAAAGGGATCTGTAGCGCTTGATTCAGCATGCTGCTGTGTGCTGACAAAACTGGAGCTCTCTCTTTGAAGCGTTGCGTGGCTGTGTATGTTCTTCTTGGTTCTGAGCCGCATTTACATGTTTTTTAGACACGCGTCCTGAAGATCAGAAATCCCACTTACAGGAACAGCTGTCTTGGTCTTTGCCATTCAGGTGAGCCTCTCTGTGAATTAAATTGGGCTTTTGGCAGAAATGTTTGTATTCTCTGGCTGTATGAGATACATTCTTCTCTTCCATGCTGAGGAGGGAGACAGGGGCAATATGAAAGCCCATTCCCTTCAACTTGTAATTTCATATAAGAAAAAAAGCCAGCTGTGTAACTTTTTTTTTTTTCTTACAGGGTGATTGTTTTGCATCAGAGCTCTCCAATATGATTAAAAAGGATAGTGAAGAAGTTCTAATATATCACCTGCTTACTGCTGCTTGTACAGCCTGTGAATGGCAACCCCTTTTTGGCCACATAAACAGTTGCAAAGCTCGGACTTCCTTTAACTGAAGCAGCAAGTACAGAAGAAAATCTAATGGTCTTTGTAATACAGTTTGTACTGGTTTTACACCATCGTTGCATGTATGGGCAGTATCAGCACTATCGCAGGACTGAACTGTATTCTCGATGTAACGCCTTTACAAAGCTGGCTATGTGGTGGGGAGTTTTCTGCACATGCACGCTTACATAAGCAAAAGAATCTTTTGCTCTGTTGCGTTGTGCAGTTTTCAGTGTCACAGATAAAATGATTGTAATTCTGCGGACTGCTGTTACTGCTCAGGCACTCGTTAAATTTTTCCATGCTGGAGTGTGGAGCACTACAGCCCATGTAGTGTATGTTTTTCCTTGCTCATTAAATTTAACAAGGTAATTTCTTGTTTTCTCTTTTCTTAGTGCTTTTGTGATCTAGTGTTGAACTGATTTGACTGATTAAGGGGATTAATTGCTGTGCAAAAAGCTAATGAGAAAGAGGCAGTGTTCTCCAGAGATTGCAAGTGCAGCAATACATTCCCTGCCAGCATTAGGCAAGAATATGAGAAAATCTGGTTAGTATTTACAAAGATAACTGTTGTTTTATTAAACCACACTTTCGGTAGGCCTCATCCAAAAAAACCAAAAACAAACAGACCCTGGATATAATTGAGCTTTGGATCATGATTTTGATGGGCACAGCAACTTCACAATTAACTTTTCTTGTGATAAAAACTGTTCAGCTGCAGGAGGTGTGAAGATTGGCCTTGTGCCTTTTTAACTGACACTGGGATTTTAGCTGCCTTTGTACAGCTGGGTGTACCACCTGGTGCTTTTTCATT